CTTGTAACCGCAATTTTATGAGACATCGACCCTTTTTAACTGTTAAAATTGATCGTGCTCGGTTCTTAACCCTTAGTGAGCATGCACTTATCTTTATTATAGATTTTAACGTCTACCTGATTTTATGACGTTGAAAATAACCTATAACATGCTTTATATAACAATTTATATAATCATCCATTCCATGCAATAATATAACAATTATATCTATCACTCATGCAACCCTAAGACATGCATACTATACATTATAACACTTATAACATACTTGGAATGCATGAAACATGCTTAGCCTATGGTGGGATTTTAAATCTATATGACATACTTTATGCATATACATTTTCTATTTAATTAAAACATACATTCATAATGCATAATTAATTAAACACACTAAAGTGGGTTGGTTTTGGCATTTTAAAGCAAGCAATTAACTAAATTATTACATTAATAATTAAAAATAACTTGAGCCGCTCCCGAGGATCACGAACTGGACAAACCAACCCTTAAAAATGTTCAATCGGTCCCCAACGACAGAAAAGACACCCGAACCGCCTCTTCCATCTTCTTCGGTTCAGCTTGCTTATCTCTTCCATTTTCGATCAATTACAACCTAAAATGGACTCTAATGACTCCATAAAAATTACAGACCTTTCTTCATTCATTAAAGCCCATACACCTTAGGCTTATTACAATAATTGTATCAAATGGAAGCATAAAAAAAATGCCAAAACCAAAACCATCCACTTTAGCAACCACAAATTTCATGCATGAAATGGTACCCACCATGATCAAATTAATGTAAATAAAGTGCCTAAAACTTGCTCTGATACCAATTGATGGTGTTAATATAACACATGCGGAAGCAATTTGGATCTTAGGCACTTTTAGAACATCAATTATTGTAAATCACTAGCATGTTCATAAGTATTAAAACTTAATGAGTTTAAATACTAACCTTTTGTAGTTCAAACTCCTTTTGCCTCACGAACCGGTTTCGAACCACCACTAGTGTCTTCTCCACTATCCTCCGGCCTTAGAACGGGATTGTGGAATCCGGTGAGTGACTAAACTTGGGAGGGATTTTGTATATGTGAAAGAGAGTGTTTGTGAGAAGTTTTTCTCAAGGTTTTTCATCAAGATGAAGAATCCCCTCCAAGTATCATGATCACTCTATTTAAAGAGTCAAGTTTGCATGTTCATGCAAACTTGAGATCACCAAATTTTGACACTTAAAATTCCACTCAAGAGTTTGGGATTATGTGGCAAGCATGCATGTTTGAGTTAACCAAATTTTGACACTCAAAATTCCACTCAAACTTGTGGGGTTTATTTGGCAAACATGCAAGTTTGGTTAAACCAAATTTTGACACCTCAAAATTCCACTAACATGGATTTTTCCATTAGATGAAAGTCAACATTTTGACTTTCTTCATTTTAATTCAACAATTAATTTGAATAATGAATTTCAAATTAAAGTAACATTAAATGATTAATTAAACTATTTAATTAATATTTAATATTAATTCAAATGCCAATCCCAATCAATTCCGACACATAATTGATTAAGATATTTAAATCTTATTTAAATATCTCACATTCTCTCTTTTCGTTTAATTCGTAAATAAAACAAAATTGCGGTTAAATATATCGTATATATGTAACGCATATTCCCTAATTTGAATTCGAACACTTCGAACTCACTCGTCACATTGTTCTATGGTTTAGTCCGATATGAGCTAGCAGAGGGACCTAATGGACCTATAGATCATGGGCTCCAACGATCCAAGATTAACCAATTAAACTCATTAACCTGGTTAACCAACATTCGTTAACTACTAGGACACTCCACTATAGCCTAGTAGTTGCACTCCCCTCACTATAGATATATTTCTGTCCATCTGATATAACCATGATTAGTAAGTCGATCCTTCACAGGTTGTTCGTAACTAGAGCTGGGTCAATTTACCGTTTTACCCCTGAAGTTACTTCTTGTTCCTTATGTCTCACTGATCCTCTAATGAACAATTGGTTTGTGGTCCAACCAGTAAACCAAATCCCTCTCAGGCCAATGAGAGGGTGGGGCCCCTTGTTCAAGACCTGGAGTCAGTGCTTAAGGGAACTACCTTTCTTCTATCCCTAAGTGGGTAGGAGTGAATTCCGTCTTGCACCCCACATCCCCAGCCATTCACCCAGTCTTACCCCTGAAATGGGAGGCCTGTTGAGTCGGCGAACTAGAGCCACTCTCACCCATGCAAATCTAAGGATAATTCCGAATAAACAGGAGTTCATGGTTAGCTCAGGATTAAAACCGAGTTACCTAGGTTATCGAATGAAAAGAAAATCAGTCTCAACAGTAAACGACTTTATAAAGTGAGAGTGGTTTTCTTCATGGTCCGATCTTATGCAATACTCATTGCATAGGACGCCCTCACTCACATGTCTCCACATGCACAATTTAGTGATCACATTGTTTATATCATATACAAAAGTGGGCCGCATCCATAGTGTCCCCAGAATAAGGTACTCAGCCTTATCCTTATACTATAGATCATTTTGACTATATACTTGAACTTGATCCACTCTTATGTCTCTACATATAGTTCAAGTAATCATACTATAGCCAGAGTGTTCTTAGTTTATTGGATTTAGATTAATGATCGTAAAGTTCACTTTATTCAATAACAATTTTTACTGAATAAACATCAATAATAACTTTATTGAAAATAGAATATATCTTTGTTTACAAACTATGAGTTTTAGGACATAAAACCCAACAATAATATCGGGACATCCCGAACATCCATCCATCTGAGTTCTATTGAGGCGTTTGACACTCTCATGTCCATGCCATATATTTTACGGACTTCTTATCAGACAACGGGTATATAATCCAACCTTCGACACATGGGATGAGGGCGCAATGTTGCACACCCATGTCGTCTGACACTATCCTTGAAAGACTCATCTCCAAGAAAGTCGCCAAAGACAAGCATATCCCACAAAGTAGCTTGCTCAGAACATAAAATGCATGGATGAGTCCTTAGCTCAATAGTAGAGCATTTGAATGCAGATCAAGAGGTCACCAATTTGAACTTGGTAGGGCCCTTATTTTTTCTTTTTTTGACACAAAATCATGAGGTAGTTGCCCACTCGACCATCAGAAAAATATCATGTCTGGTGTCACGAGATCGTACATTTTAAACTGTGTGGTCGTGATCTTCATGCATCTCACATCATCCAGGATCCCAATTAATATGGCTCATATGCCTTCATGTCATCCCAATCTCGAGATGCATCACCCATCATAGCTTGTTCATTCCTTTCCATCGAGAATGGGCCCACTTGTCATTCATAATATGGAGACATCTCAAATATCCATCCATCTTAGGTCATAGCTTGTTCATTCATTTCCATCGAGAACGGGCCCACGTGTCATTCATAATATGAAGACATCCAAAACATCCAACTATCTTGGGTCTTTAGCTCGTAGAGCATTTGACTGCAAATCAAAAGACCACAAGTTTGAACTTGGTAGGGTCCTTATTTGACCACAAGTTTGAACTTGATAGGGTCCTTATTTTTTCTTTTTTTGATACAAAATCATGAGGTAGTGTACACTCGACCATCATAAAATATCATGTCTGGTGTCACAACGTACATTTTAAATTGTGCTGTGTCATCTTCATGCATCTCAACTTGTCATCGAGGATCCCAATTAATATGGCTCATATGCCTTCATGTAATCCCAATCTTAAGATGTCATCACCCATCATAGCTCCTTCATTCATTTCCATCGAGAACCGACCCACGTGTCATTCATAATATGGAGACATTCCAAACATCCCTTCGTCTTGGGTTCTTAGTTTAGTGGTAGAACATTTGATGGTAGATTAAGAGGTCACCAGTTTGAACCTCATAGGGCCCTTATTTTATCCTCTCGAGATGTCATCACCCATCATAGCTTGTTCACTCATTTTCATCGAGAACGGGTCCATGTGTTATTCATAATATGGAGACATCCCAAACGTTTATCCATCTTGGGTCCTTAGCTCAGTGGTAGATCATTTGATTGCAGATCAAGATTTTCTTTTTTTGATACAAAATCACAGAGGTAGTTTTCACATAGATAGTACATTTTAAACTGTGATCTTCATGCATCTCAACTCGTCATCCAAAATCCCAATTAATATGGCTCATAAGCCTTCATGTAATCCCAATCTCATAAGCCTTCACATAATCCCAATCTGGAGATGTCATCACCCATCATAGCTCGTTCATTCATTTCCATCGAGAACGGGCCCACGTGTCATTCATAATATGGAGATATCCCAAACATCCATTCGTCTTAGGTCCTTAGCTCAGTGGTAGAGCATTTGATTGCAGATTAAGAGATCACCAAGTTGAACTGGTAGGGCCCTTATTGTTTCTTTTTTAGATACAAAATCACGAAGTAGTTATCCACTCGACCATCAGAAAATATCATCATGTATGGTGTCACAAAGATCGTACATTTTAAACTGTGTTGCGCCGTCATGATCTTCATGCATCTCCACTCGTCATCCAGGATCCCAATTAATATGGCCCATATGTCTTTATATCATCCCAATCTTGAGATGTCATCACCCATCATAGCTCGTTCATTCATTTCTATCGAGAACGGGCTCACATCTCATTCATAATATGGAGACATCCCAAACACTCATCCATCTTGGGTCCATAGCTCAGTGGCAGAGCCTTTGACTGCAGATGGTAGGGCCCTTTTATCTTTTTTTGATACAAAATCACAGAGGTAGTTTTCACAAAGATCATCTTACATTTTAAACTGTGTTGGGCCATATGCCTTCATGTCATCCCAATCTCGAGATGTCATCATCCATCATAGCTCGTTCATTCATTTCCATCGAGAACGAGCCCACGCATCATAGCTCGTTCATTCATTTCCATCGAGAATGAGCCCACGTGTCATTCATAATATGGAGACATCCCAAACATCCATCCATCTTGGGTCCTTAGCTCAGTGGTAGAGCATTTGACTGTACATCAAGAGGTCACCAATTCGAACCTGATAGGGCCCTAACCGATCGTACAATTCCACGTCTCATCCTTCTTCTTAGGTCATTACTCCACGACGATCGTACATTTTAAATTGTGCGTCGTGATCTTCATGAATCTCGTCATCGAGGATCCCAATTAATATGGCTCATATGCCTTCATGTCATCCCAATCTCGAGATGTCATCACAACGGGCCCACGTGTCATTCATAATGTGGAGACATCCCAAACATGCATTCATTTTAGGTCCTTAGCTCAGTGGTAGAGCAATTGACTACAAATTAAGAAGTCACAAGTTCGATCCTAGTAGCCCATATTTTTCCTTTTATTTTTTATACAAAATCACAAAGGTAGTTTTCACGAAGATCGTTACATTTTAAACTGTGTTGCATCGTCGTAGGCCGAAGAGGTAGTTATCCACTCCACCATTAGAAAATAACATGATCTTCATGCATTCCACTCGTCATCCCAATTAATATGGCCCATATGTCTTCATATCATCCCAATCTCAACATGTCATCAACCTTTCTCTTCATGCGCGTCATTCTTCTTAGGTAATCACCGGGTCCTTTTTTTCTTTTTTTTTTATACGAAATCACGAGGTAGTTTTCACGACGATCCTAATTAATATGGCTCGTATGCCTTCTTGTCATCACCCATCATAGCTCGTTCATTCATTTCCATCGAGAACGGGCCCACATGTCATTCATAATATGGAGACATCCCGAATATCCATCCATCTAAGTTCTATTGAGGCGCTAGACCCTATCATGTCCATGTCATATCTTTTTTGGACTTCGTATCAGATAGCGAGTATATGATCCAACCTCCGACACATGGGGTGAGGGCGCAAAGTCGATACGCCCATGCTGTATGAGTTCTATTTTGGTATTGGACCCTCTTGTGTCCATGTCATATCTTTTATTGACTTCGTATTAGATTGCGGGTATACAATCCATCCTACAATACATGGTGTGTGGGCACAATGTCGACACACCCATATCGTCCAACACTATCCTTGCAATACTCATTTCCAAGAAACTCGCCAAAGACACGCATGTCCCATAGAGTAGCTTGTTGTGGACATAAGACTCATGGATGGTTCTTATCTTAGTGGTTGAGCATTTGACTATTTTTTCTTTTGTTGATACAAAATCACGAGGTAGTTGTCCATTCGAGCATCAGAAAATATCATGTATGGTGTCATCATACATTTTAAACTGGGTGGCGTCGTCGTGATCTTCATGTATCTCAACTCGTCATCTAGGATCCCAATTAATATGGCCCATATGCCTTCATGTCATCCCAATTTTGAGATGTCATCGCCCATCATAGCTAATTTGGACCCTTTATGTCCATGTCATATCTTTTACGGGCACCATATCATATAACAAGTATACGATCCATCCTACGATACATGTGTTAAAATATCGACACACTCCCATTTCATCCAACGCTATCCATAAAACACCTATTTTAAAGAAAGTCGTCAAAGACACCCATGTCCCATAGAGTAGCTCGCTAAGGACATAAAATCCATGAATGAGTCTTTAGCTAAGTGGTAGAGCATTTGACTGCAGATCAAGAGGATCTTCATGCATAGGTGATCTCTCATTCCCCCCTAGAACGGGTTCACGTGTAATTCATGTCATCCGACCCTATCCATGAAAGACCCATTTTAAAAAAATTCGCCAAAGATACCCATATCGCGTAGAGTATCTCGCGCTAACAACATAAAACCAGTGGATGGGGCTTTAACTTAGTGGTAGCACATTTGAATGTAGCAAGAGGACCTTTATTTTTCTTTTTTCTTTTTTTATACAAAATCATGAGGTATTTGTCCATGAACCTAGTAGGACCCTTATTTTTCTTTTTTTGATACAAAATCATGAGGTATTTGTCCATTTAACCATTAGAAAATATCATGTCTGGTGTGATCGTATATTTTAAACTGGGGGCGTCGCCGTGATCTTCACGCATCTCAACTTGTCATCTAGAATCCCAATTAATATGGCCCATATAACCTCATTTCATCTCAATCTCGAGATGCCATTCCCATCATAGCTCGTTCATTCATTCCCATCGAGAATGGGCCCACATTGTCGTCCAACACTATCCTTGAAATACTCATTTTCAAGAAACTCGTCAAAGGCACGCATGTCCCATAGAGTAGATCGTGAAGGACATATGACCCATGGATGGGTCCTTAGCCCAGTGGTATAACATTTGACTACAGATCAAGAGATCACCCGTTCGAAGTTAGTAAGACCTTTATTTTTTCTTTTTTTCATACAAAATCACGAGGTAGTTGTCCATTCGATCATCAGAAAATATCATGTCTGGTGTGATCGTATATTTTAAACTGTGCGGCGTCGTCGTCGTGATCTTCATGCATCTCAACTCGTCATCTAGGATCCCAATTAATATGGCCCATATGCCTTCATGTCATCCTAATCTCGAGATGTCATCACCCATCATAGCTAATTTTGACCCTCTATGTCCATTTCATATCTTTTACGGGCACCGTATCATATAGCGAGTATATGATCCCTCCTATGATACATGTGGTGAGGGAGAAATATCAACACACCCATGTCATTTGCTATCCATGAAAGACCCATTTTAAAGAAAGTCGCCAAAGACACCCATGTCCTATAGAGTAGCTCGCTAAGAAAATAAGAACAATGGATGGGTTTTTAACTTAGTGGTAGAGCATTTGATTGTAGGTCACTAGTTCGAACCTAGTAGTGCCTTGATTTTTTTTTATACAAAATCACGAGGTATTTATCCACTCGACCATCAGATAATATCATGTCTGGTGTCATGATCTTCAAGCATTGATTCATTCCGGGTTCTATTTTGATGTTGGACCCTCTCGTGTCAATGCCATACCTTTTACGATTATCATGTCTGGTGTCATGATCTTCAAGCATTGATTCACTCCGAGTTCTATTTTGATGTTGGACCCTCTCGTGTCAATACCATATCTTTTAAGGACTTCGTATCAGATTGCGGGTATATGATCCATCCTACGACACATGGGATGAGGGCGCAATGTCGACACACACATTGTCGTCCAACACTATCTTTGAAATACTCATTTCCTAGAAACTCGCCAAAGACACGCATAGCCCATAGAGTAGCTCACTGAGGACATAAGACCCATGAATGGGTCCTTAGCTTAGTGATAGAGCATTTGATTGCAGATCAAGAGGTCACCAGTTTGAACCTAGTAGGGCCCTTATTTTTTCCGTTTTCACACAAAATCACGAGGGAGTTGTCCATTCAACCATTAGAAAATATCATGTCTGGTGTGATCGTATATTTTAAACTGTGCGGCGTGCCGTGATCTTCACGCATCTCAACTCGTCATCTAGGATCCCAATTAATATGGCCCTTATGCTTCATGTCATCCCTATCTCGAGATGTCATCACCCATCATAGCTAATTTTGACCCTCTATGTCCATGCCATATCTTTTACGAGCACCATATCATATAGCGAGTATACGATCCATCGTACGTTACATGTGGTGAGGGAGAAATATCGATGCACCCATGTCCCATTGAGTAGCTCGCTAAGGAAATAAAACAATAGATGGGTCTTTAGCTCAGTGGTAGAGCATTTGTCTGCACGTCACTAGTTAGAACCTAGTAGGGCCCTTATTTTTTCATACAAAATCACAAGGTATTTGTCTACTCGACCATCAGATAATATAATGTCTAGTGTCGTGATCTTCATGCATCTGTCATCTTGGATCCCAATTAATATGGCCCATATGCCTTCACTCCCATCGAGAACGAGCCCACGTGTCATTTATAATATGGGGACATCCCAAACATCCATCCATCTGAGTTCTATTTTGATGTCAGACCCTCTCGTGTCAATGTCATATCTTTTAAGGACTTCGTATCAGATTGCGGGTATATGATCCATCCTACGACACATGGGATGAGGGCGCAATGTCGACACACACATTGTCATCCAATACTATCTCTGAAATACTCATTTCCAAGAAATTCGCCAAAGACACGCATATCCCATAGAGTAGCTCGCTGAGGACATAAGGCCCATGGATGGGTCCTTAGCTTAGTGGTAGAGCATTTGACTGCAGATCAAGAGGTCACCAGTTTGAACCTGGTAGGGCCCTTATTTTTTCCGTTTTCACACAAAATCACGAGGGAGTTGTCCATTCAACCATCAGAAAATAACATCCATCCACCTGAGTTCTATTTTGATGTCAGACCCTCTCATGCCAATGCCATATCTTTTAAGGACTTCGTATCAGATTGTGGGTATATGATCCATCCTACGACACATGGGATGAGGGCGCAATGTCAACACACACATTGTCTGTCCAACACTATCTTTGAAATACTCATTTCCAAGAAACTCGCCAAAGACACGCATATCCCATAGAGTAGCTTGCTGAGGACATAAGGCCCATGAATGGGTCTTTAGCTCAGTGGTAGAGCATTTGATTGCAGATCAAGAGGTCACCGGTTTGAACTTAGTAGGGCCCTTATTTTTCCGTTTTCATACAAAATCACGTATATTTTAAACTGTGCGGGGTGCCGTGAAACTCGTCATCTAGGATCCCAATTATTATGGCCCATATGCTTCATGTCATCCCTATCTCGAGATGTCATCACCCATCATAGCTAATATTGACCCTCTATGTCCATGCCCTATCTTTTACGGGCACGATACATGTGGTGAGGGAGAAATATCGACACACTCATGTCATCCGCTATCCATGAAAGGCCCATTTTAAAGAAAGTCGCCAAAGACACCCATGTCCTATAATATAGTAGCTCGCTAAGAAAATGAAAACAATGAATGGGTCATTAGCTCTGTGGTAGAGCGTGGTAGAGCATTTGACGGCAGATTTAGAGGTCATCAATTTGAATCTGGTAAGGCCCTTATTTTTTCTTTTTTTGATACAAAATCAGAGTTATCTGTCTACTCGACCATCAGAAAATATCATGTCTAGTGTCATGATCTTCCTGCATCTGTCATCTAGG